TCGCGGCCGCGCTCCGGTGCCTCCGCCACATCGCGCCGGCCTCACGCGGCGCGCTCCGCGCGTGGCGCGCGGCCGCGGCGGCGTCCGCGGCCGCCGCCGCGGACGGCGCGGCGCTCAGGAGCCGCGTCGCTGTCTGGCGGCGGCGGCGGCCGCGGCGGCGGCCGCAGCGGCGGCCGCTCGGAGCCGGCTCCGCCGGGGCCTCGCGGCTTGGGCCGCGGCCGCGCGCCGCACGCTCCGGCTGACGGTGGCGCGCCACGTGGTCCACGTCCAGCGGTCTCGCGCGCTCCGCGGCGCGCTCGCGGCAATCGCCGCGGCGGCCGCGGCCGCGGCGCTCGACGCGCGGCGCGCCGCGGTCGCCGCCTGGCGCGCGCGCGCCGCGCGCCGCAGAGCAGCGCCGCGCGGCCGCGCCGCGCGGTCCTCGCGTGCGCGGTCGCGCGCGTCGGCGCCGCCGTGGCCGAGCGGGCCGCGGCGCGGCGGCGCCGCGCGGACGGCGCGCGCGCGATCGCCCGTGCGGCGCTGCGCCGCCGCGTCGCCGCCGCCTGGATAATTCCGCGGGGTTTAAAGACGGGTCGGCGGGACGAGTCCGCGCGTCGCTCCGCCTGGCTTCAGCGCCTTCGGCGCCTTTGTCGCCTCCGGCGCCTTCGGCGCCTTCGGCGCCTCTTTTTTTTTTTTTTTTTCTTTTTTTTTTCTCCTCGCCATGTGCCAAACATGAAAAAAGTGCCATATTTTTGCGATCAGGAAATAAATCTCTAAATAAATGCAAATAAATATGAACGGGCAAATGGGGCCTATAACTGGGCAGCTACCCCGCTTACATGGGGCGACACTGGCTGGGCCAGGCAGCATCCAGTTTTTCTCGTGCTTGACGGGGAAGGTACTGCCGGTCTTTTGCATGCAGTAGACGTGGATCCGTGGCCTTCCATCCGGAGGCTGGTCTGGACCAGTTTTTGCACCTGCGTGCGCCAGGTTCCTGCTGCACATCATAGCATACCCGAATGGTATTTCAATCGGCTGAGCATCGTTGGAGAAGTCCGCTGGGATGCATTGATCCCCTTCTTTCTTACAATATTCAACTTTATGTGATCCCCGAGACACGCATAAATTCGTCCCTGCTTCTGTGACCGGGATGACGATAAACCCAATTTCTTCTTCCTTACCTTTTTTTGCCTCATGGTCTGTATGCATTATCTGCTGGTCAATATTCTCCTCCGTAGCCAATACGACCTCTCCCATCGTACCTGAACCTGTGATGTTGCTTAAATTTGCATGTGTAGAAAGGTTAAGTTTAAGTTTGCCGTTCATCCATCGCCCACTTCTTTTTGCCTGCGCGGTCGTGTCCGTTCCGAAGTAAGTCGTCCATCCATTTGTCCTCTTCTTTGCCGCGAACCCCTCCTTGACCTTGTCATAACTAGCCACTGCATCCTTGACAACAGACTCATCAAGCTTGTGAAGATAGAAGCCGTCCGCAGGCAGCGAAAATTTTTGCATATGGGCTTCATTTCTCGCGGCTTGTCTGCTTATTTTTCTGGCGGCCACTTTGCGCTGCGCCTGTATTTCTTTGTTCTGCGCCGCTACCTCAGGGTTCCCCTTCGGGTGCGGCAGCCGCGGCTTCTTTGCTGGTGGCTCCATCTGTGGGCAGCACGCTTCCCGAGTCCATGAAAGTAGGCGTCACGATCTTTTGTTCGGTGACCCCGACTTTTTTGTCCGAGCGGGGCTGGTCCTGGCATATTTATCGCTTGTCCTTCTCGATGGCGCCAAAGCTAAGCACGTCGAACCCCGCCGAATCAATGTTTAATAAACCCCTGGACAACATCAGAACTATGCCCATGCAGGCATCTCTCATGCCAATAGCGAAAGAAATCGTAGCTAGGTACAATGGAAATCGAGAGGACATGCTTGCGGAGGTGGCGAAGAACGAGAAAGCTTCCGCCGAGGAGGCGAATGAGTTCCCACCTGCAGTTTCAGAGCGTTTTAAATAGCTCAGGCGCGGCGACACCGGGGCCCCGCCGGCCCTGTAAGATGCCTGTTCTTTCTAGCGACGCCCGGGGTAATTCTAGGTCGGTCGGCATGCCCTACTGTCGCCGGGCCGAAACTATCGCCAGCGCATCAGCGCGACGTGGTCCGTCCTGGCGTGATCGTGCGCCGGTGGGGTCCGTCTTGAAATTCTT